TTAACATTTTGAAAGAATACTCTACACATTCATATCTTAAACGTCATGTAGAAACACAGTTTGCAATGGCAACCAAATAATACTTTTGGTATATTCTTTGAAGAGATACAATGTTCATCAGATATTTTGGGTTGTCTCTACTCGTTTCGAAAAATCGTAGAGATCTAATGACGCAAAAAAATTAACTGGAACAGAATGGTTCCCGAAGGTTCAATCAAAAAATGAGTAGGCTCCGAATATGCAATGAAATCGGTTTCTGTCATATTTCTGCGTAAAAAACATACCACTATGAGGAGATTGAAGCACTGTCGAAATGATTTAAAAAGAATGTACAAATTCCGAGATAAAAGTCGAAATTACGAGATAAAAGTCAGAATTACGAGATAAAAGTCGAAATTACGAGATAAAAGTCGAAATTACGAGATAAAAGTAGAAATTACGAGTCGAAATTTCGACTTTAAAGTCGAAAGTATGGTGGATCAAATAAACAAATAACCTTTGGCCCTTCATAGTTCATACAAATAAAGTTGAAAAATATCAAAATCACCATATTTAGATTATCTATATAAAGCAATTATCGCACGATTAAATGATTTAGTTGAATGGTACAAAATTCTGCATGAAATTTGATACTGAGTATACTCACGTCAATAGATTTGTATACGATGTTTTCTCCAAAAAATATAACTACTGAAAATTTTACACCGTGACGACCATTACTACGACTTGGGTGTTGAAAAAAGACCCTGTAGTGGGAATTATTTACAATAATGCTATGAAAAACTTACCGGGATTATAGTCTGCTGATTTTATCGGTATGAGCCATATGAGAGGCATCGAATCATACAACACTTTTGGCAAAAGCTCTGCAAGCCTGTTCGTCTTTCGATCCCATCTTGCCCCATCGGTGAATAACCCATAAATATAGGCTCCATCTTGAGGGCTGACACTAGAAGTATCTGTTTGCAAAATTTCGAAATCAAATGTCAATTTGTCTATAGGAATAGTATATCTTCGAGCGAAGTTCTGCTTCACCCCCGTCAAGAATGCTTGGGTGAAGAAAAAACCGGATATCCAGTAGGTCATGGGTTTACCATCAAGAAACCACGTTTGTAGAAACTGAATTCGGTTTATAAAATCAGATACGTAATTAGGGAGGTTTTTCAAACTGGGATATGAAACTCCCGCCCAGCTGGTAGGAATCTTACCGAGAAGCAGAGAGGACGAGAACGCTTCAATTGCTGGTGACATTGCAACAAGCCCTGTGAAAAAAAAACTTGAATTGAAGCATTGATTATAATTTATATATTTCAAGGCTAAAATACTATTGCGAATTACTTATTTCAAGGAAACATTATTCCTATCGAGGAAGCTACGGTATTAGCGAAACGAAAATGTTTGTGGAAATTGTTCAATATTTAAGCTGAATTTTATTCTGAATAAAAACATTGGATCATTATTGTTAGAGTTGAATTCATAATAAAATTCTAAATTTTGTCGTTCTTTTTATTATAAGTATCTGCCTTCAATTATATTTTTCAAAAAATATACTAACAATAACTTTATTTTCTGGTGAATTCATTATTTTTATTTTTGATCGGGTGCTTATGTAGAGCGCAATTTGAATAAAAAGACGAAAAAGTTATTTTTCACGCCTAGGCATTGAGTATGTCATTTGTGTGATCGATAAATGTCACTTGAACTGACGTTTACTGCCAATCGCAAAGAAAACATAATTTTTAAATATTTTTTTGTAAATAAGACTCATTTTCGAAAAAATCTGAGAGCGAATCAAAGCTGACAATTTTTTCAATTTAGATTTCCAAATCATTATCGTCTATACTTTTGATTCCAAAATCATCAACATTACATTTTTTTGGTTTATTTATTTATATTTTAGTAATTTTATTTCATACACGACAAAACAGATCGAATGTCATTACTACATATTTGTTCCAAAAAAAAATGAAAAAACAGGTCGTTTTTCATTCCGTGGAGGNAGAGTTAGGACACATAAAGTCCTATGAAACTGATTTTTGAGTTGCCTCAACTGATTATATTGGCACCACTCTTAAATTCGATAATCCATAAACTCCAGTTTTCGAATATTTCCGTTATTCTGTTACTATGTCACATCAAATGCAACATTGATGACTTTTATTTTGAACTAAAATATTCAAGATTGATGATTGACTGATAATAACAAAAAGTTATTGTTTTGTCAACTTTACCTAAATGTTTTTCGTACATATATGTGATGCATACAACTTCACGGATAATGTAAGTAGTTTTATCAAAACTTAAGCAATATGTGAACACACATATTTTACTTTCCTAGTTTCCCTTATGATAACAACCAAAAGTGTCGAAATATTCGAATTAATTTCTAATGAGTATTATTGTACACCTCTCACCTTGTATAGCCTTCTGCATATTCGAAAGACTCGCAACCATAACTCTCAATAGCTTATTAAACCTCTCCATTTCCTGAACGAGCACGGTATTCATAGACTCGGAGTATTCCACTGGGTATTTAGCATTGGCCGCCTCCATGTCGAATTTTTTCGGCAACTTCGACAACATATCTGAACACATCATCATCAGTTGCTTATCGGTCTCTCCGCTACCTCCAGCGGAAGTATCACCGTAAGCCTTGAGGACAGACGAAAGCATTAATTTTGAATTCTGCAGGTCCCTCGTTATGCCAGCGTTGGTATGTAAACCAAAAACTTCCGGAGGATGTATGGCCGGTAAGGAATTTATGTAGGCAATATATGCGGTGTATTCTATTTTTTCTGGGAGACCGTAGCACTTTCCAGCATCACTGAAGGAGTAGGATTTGTTAGACACCACTTCTGGGTTCAGATAGTCTCGCAAGATGGTAACTATAAGCCTACGATCCCAATCATCAGTTACCCTACCACCGTAGTTACATTCTCCAATCAGGTATGAAAGTGCTTCGTAAGGCTCTTCGCTCTCATTTATGAACATTTGTAATTGCTGGACTGATATGTCGAAGTCAGAGTCATTGAAACCTGAAAAAAGTTTATTGTAACTATTTGTTTGAAATGGCGTGTCACGGAACTTGATGTGACAAACCAAATTCTATGCGGGCGAAGCCGCGGGCAACAGGTAGTAATTTATATTTTCACTTTGAAGATACAGTAATGGAAAAAATATGCCAACTGCACTAAGTGATGAATAGTTTCGAGAATCGAATTATGTTACGTATACAGAAATTTCGCAAAACTAACACAACCGTCCACGACGTCTGCCCGTGTTCGGGTCGCATTCTCGGCAATAGCGCTTCATTGCTTAGACCGCTCCTCTACCCCCGCGCATCGAATCCCGACGTCTTACAGTAGACGCGACACGTAATGCGTCACAGTTTACCTATATGGAATACATAAAAAGACAATTGTATCAATTTCTATAAAAATTTGACAGATATTCTAACATGAGAGGTAGATATATGCTATCGTGGACTTTTATTTAAAACTATTCAAGATAAAAAATCTTACAGTACATAATCTTCATGTAATGCCAATGGAAACGCGCGCCAAGATAGCTCTCAGGGAGCATCAGTTTACACATTTTGGACTTTACTCCGATCATGACATCCACGCGTTGAGGGCAGTCGTTATTGGCTTCATCTGTCGTGATCGGAGAGAAAGTCCTCAGATTTAACTTGGTACAACTCTTCTATATAAGAAACAATATTGACATAAAATTCCACTTCGGATGCAATATCATTGTTCTGAAAATAAGTTTTTTCAACTCCTAAACAGTTTCATTATTCAATAATCTCTTATTCTTGGTGAATTAATTGAATGTGTTTGGAATATATTTAAATGTGTGATTGTGAGGTACCTCCAACAATTTAATGTTGTTTCGAGAATAACACAAAACACTTTCTGAAACAAGTAGTTTCTCTGATTGGAAATTTAAAAAATATGTCCATCAAATGCGAATGATGAACTTTCCTTGCTCTATAAGGCTTTTTCTTTAAAATTTTCCGTACAGACGTAGTGGATATAGCCGAGTTATGAGCAAACACCCTCGGGTATACCTACTTCCTTGTTCTCATTTTTTATTTTCCACAAATACTAAATCAAATGAATGTCACTTTATCATTATAATAAACCTCTTTTGAACTCTCCTAACACGTCGATTTCGTAAATTATTTTCGATACGTTGAGAATATATATGATTGGGTTATCGTCGTTCAGGATACATTGTCAGAGATTTGGTAGCATTTCTCAAATATCTCGAACAAAAACCATGTCACTTTTTCGTCATTGAAAAAATTCATGTTTCTCCCTTAAAATCGCTCAACGATTTTAATAACTTTTATTTTGTGTGTGACAATTAACTTGACATTCACATTCATATATTTCATGGCTTATCATGTTTCTCGTGAATATCGTCTTTGACTTCTTTGATACAATTTTATCATAAATCAATTATTGTTGATATACACATTTTCTGAACAGAAATATTTGGCTAGCTACAAATTTTCAAAAGACATTTGGAAATTATGAATAGCTTGGTATTGATACAAAGATTATTGGTCTCTTTTTCAAGACAACCCTGACAAAAGTCTATTTGGATTTCAGTGAATATAAATATTTAAGAAATCGATGAACGACATCACCGATGGGCAAACTTTGTTTGGATTTCAGTAACATTCGGAAATTCGACCTCTTAATAAAAAAATGATGGAATACTGATGATGTTTTGCTGGAAAAAACATTGGAAAATACACATCAATGAATTTGTAATTACAACGACTACCAAAACGTATGAAAAAAATACAGGTCCTTATTTAAAAAAATATATTATTGATGGATTTCTATGAACGAAACGTCATATTGGAAAATAAGTCGAGCCAGATTATAAAAAATATTTAATAAAGACAAAAGTTCACCTGTCATTTTTTTATATTATTGAAAATGGAGGCGGTAGAGCAATAAAATAAAATTATTATTCTCAGTTTTTTGCAAATATCTTAAAAACGGTTGGTGAACTTATCGATCTGTGTATACCGTTTCTAAAAAGGTGACTTTTGTTCTATTCGACCGTCCTTGTAGGACCTACCATTTCCGAGATAGCAATAGTGGTATCAGTTGAAAAACGGCCTGTAGGTATATAAGAAGGGCTCCAAATTGAATGTATTTTTTTGACCAATTTTAGAAAATCAGAGGTTGAAAAAAAATTGTTACTTAACAGATGTCAAACTTTTTTGTAAATAAAAAAAATCCCAAGAAACTTAATAAGGGCGGAGATTTATTTTTGGTGTTAAATTGAAAGAATTATTAATGGAGGTAGTTGAAACTAGGTAGTGAATTTCCTCTTCTTTCAAAATATTTTTCGTAATCATTAAAAATAACTTGATGAATTCTGACGTTTTTTGCCGTGGGTTTACCAATAATTGAGTACACTGAACAAATAATCAAACTCAACTTCATTACAAAACACTAAAACTTCAACTATTATTCAACTGTCTATCATCTTATAATATCGCTTTGCACCGTACTGTCCGCGAAAGTTGACAACATCGATATGCTCGTTTATATAAGGCAAACGAACTATCCCGAAACCGGTGGAGAATTCCTTAGAAATCTATGGAGGCCGGTAGAAAATTAGCCGGAATTCCATCAAAACGGCGCAAACATCAAACAACAACGAAACACCGGCTGAGCTACCTTGGCCAGGTTACAGTTGTTTTACGACAGCCAGCGGCGGCCGCGTTATCTTTTTTTTTAAGGGGTTGATTCACAACGGGTTTGAAGGCCGTGCATTTTTGGAATTTCTTCCTGACGTTTCGCTGGCGCGAGTGGCAAGCCGGAAAATAGTAGTATTGATACATTCTATTTTTTGTCTTGATTTGTTAATAACAATTGCTTTAATTTTTTACTGTAGAAACATCAAAAAACTCATTTTTCAATCTACCATTTTGAATCCAATGAGCTTTCATATTTCAGGAGCTTCTACTTTCACCCCAATTCAAAATCACTTCTAGATCTTCATTAAGATATGCAACCTTCTGCTGTGCCTCCGTAGACGATGCCCTGGAATCCAAATGGAATGACGAGACAAAAGTGCTGTCGACAGCAAAGCAATACATTGATTTTTTTTTCAATAAGTGATATACAGTGAAAAAAGGGTTGGAGACAATATGGATCCCTGGGAACATTAGTGTTAATAGTGAAAGTATTCATCGACGGCCACTTGCAGGGAATGTTCTTTCAGGAAGCTAAAGAGCCATACACAAAAATGATCCAACAAAAGCCATATCATCGAAGTTTGGCCAGCAAACCCTCATGCCATACATGGTCAAAGGCCTTAGAAATATCAAGCGCAACAGCTCTTGATTCTCCATGTTTCTCGATTGCGTTATTCCAAATATGGGTTGTTACGGGCGAATTTTGCACTAGTTCCATGTCAATATTAAAAGGAAAATATATCGGGTACGCCACTGAGCGTTGTTTATAGTTGAGATCTTTATCCCTGTGCGATTCGTACTCGAAGCTCTGACTATTTTCTTGCTGAGATGTGGTGGATTTTGGCCATATAAATACCGTAGGTATTCCGTTCGGAATTACCTTTATTCAAGGCCGACTATTTCGCTGAACGCGGAAGTAGAGTGTCACCTCTGGTAGTTTAATCGACCTGTCATCACTGTCACCGATCTGTTTATGCCAAAATTACGTGGCGCGAGAAAGAAAAACCATTTTTTTTATTATTATTAATCGAACCTACGACTACTGACCTAGCTGGGTAACTTGTTAGTGGTGCTTCATTGCATCCCTCTACTGCTAGTATTTTAAAATTATCATTCGGCAAAATACACCCTAGCAGGGTGACATACGATCGCCTGTAGATCTTTGTTTTCTAAAGTCATATTGATGATCGCTCCAGATGTTGAAGCCTATCCAACATTTGAGGATATGGTGGTTTACGACTTTCTCCATGATTTTTGATATCACTGATAGCAAAGTGACTTGTCTATAGTTTTTTTGAAGATTTTTTTATGATGCACTGTTTGGAACCTTTGGTGTAGTAATGAATGTTACTGGAGTTTTTTCCTAACACCAAATCGCTATTTTTAACACCTCGACACGTGTTTCGATCACCAAGTGAGCATCTTCAAGAGAAAGATCAAACTAGAAACTATCGCGAAGGTAACGCTATTTATGCTATATAGATATACCCTACAGGTGTACCACCCATACAGCCATGCACATGGTTTTCTTCAAGAATGTTGAATACATTGGCTCATCCAAGAACTTGACTTTCAGTTTCCTTGGGTCAAGTGGGCTGAAGTTGGAAACCGAGTGACTCATCATGGCCTAGAGGATAATGTTTTCAACACCCTGCTCTATCGTATTTGAGTAATTTCTGTAGAAGTTCTTGACGCTGCAAGGTTTGCCACGAGACGCTTGAAATACTGGCGTGAGCCTTGGCATAAAAGTACCCTGTTCACATCATTGAAAATGGAATAATCATTCCAGAGGGATACATTGATAAATTATATGTAGCTGAAACATTAACGTATGCAAACAATTTCAGTAACTGAGAATGAACCTTTTTTATTCTCGTAAACGAATGAAGAATACTTTGCCAATAATTGATAACCATGCAGCTATGACTAAAATAACAAATGAAGTTATTGATGATTATCAGGAATTCTGAAACAACTCCAGATATAGAAATTGTATTAAAAACAAGTTTTGTTCGCTTCAAGGGATTGTTCTTCAAATAATATAAAAACACTTTTTATAACTATAGAAATTTGGGAATTATTCAGGAATTCGTGAATGTTAATGATGATTATAACAATAGGGTTATCATTTATTTCATAGAGGTGATCTTGAGAATTTCCTAAGGATTATGGAAGAGAACATGCATGATATTGGTATTGAATTCGAAGTAGGATTTGAGGATTATGAAGAGCATGCGCTTGCAGACGAAAACATCTTTCATCTTTTCGATGGATATGTAGAGATGTATATATATTTTGGAGTGAGACGACGCAATTCCACATAGAGCACTTCTAGGTTTTTCTGCATCCCAAGTTATACGTTCCTCCGAGATAAAACTTGTTCAAAAAAACCCACATGAAAGCCTCAGGAGTCAATTCACTTGAATTATCCTAGAACCTAACTTGTGCCGTCTTCAGGTCAAGTAGGGTGAGTCGACAACTAATGGAATCCATCATGACCTTTTAGAGTAGTGTCTTCATCACCAACACTTCGAAATATATGAGTGTCAAAATTGTCCCTTCAAGATTATTGAACTATGATTGCAAATATGTTGAAGGTCATCTGAAAATTTCTCAATGATTTACATAGTATTCGTGGCAAAATATCTCTAATATTTTTCATGAAGCTCTTCTAATGTTTATTGAACGAATCGAATATTAGAATTTATTCAAATGAAAGTGTTAATCCCCTGGCTAATACCATGAAGAGCGTTGGATTATATCCAACAGGTGTCAGTGCAGAAATCTTCACAGAAGTATTTCCTGCTCATACTGTTGGCGATACAATTGCTGGAATCGATTTTCAATTTGTTACGTTTCAATTTAGCACTAGATCAAACTGCTCTTATGTGACCTTTCAAAACACTACGTTACCTTTTAAGATCTTTATTCAGCGGATATTAACAATGTAATTAAGTTACAAGTAGATTTTATTCATTTAACATCATAGTAATGGGAATCTTCCGTTCCATAGAAAACCATACCTGAAATGTACAAGAATATAAATAAGTCGAGACTATCCTGAACAAATTGTTCTTTCAGTCAATTTGATTTACGAATAGATTTGGGAAGCTGAATACACTCATTAGAATGAATCCAAAAATTTGTATCAAAGTGTATAAATACAAAACTCTTCGATTCATTCAATTTGAATTACAGCCAGTCTCTAAGTATGCACACTGAATATATGTGAAAGACCAATTTTGTTGTTTGAATTATTTCATTCTTTCCGAATGTTTATGTATGTGAATACTGTGTGTATCATTGCGAATTAGCAATAATTCAAAACAAAGATTAGATCAGTAAAATTCAATATCCCAAAAATTCAACGAACCAACTCTTAATGTTTTTGATGAGGATGAAAATGAAGGAAATGTACAAAGTTCTGCAGATTAAAGAGCCAAATTTGTGGAAAGACATATTCTTCAGTCCACAAAATATTGTCAAAACGTTATAACACTTTGTATACATTTTCTCTCCATCAAACTTTTTTGTATAACTGTGATCCGGTGATCCGTAGATGTACGACTTATATTGTTCGGACACACCTGAAAGTCAAATTATGACTCAGATTGAACGTTTGATTTTCTTCGCAATAAAACCCCATTGAACATTCTTTCAACTTGAAGAGACAGGCGTGAAATGAAGACTCACTACCACAAACTGAAAACAGTCGATTAACAATTTCACACCGTTTTATCATTAGAAAACCCGAAATCCACTCTTCCACGTCAGAGCAGATATCGATATTACCAATAATAAATGCATGCATGCATTTTATCAACAATCTAATGAATCTAATCTGATGAACAATGAATGTTGAGTGAGTGTTATACGAAATTTCAACACTGTGAACATACCATATGGAATATTCCACCCAAGTGGCCCGAAAGTTCTTCTCTCCTGTATGCATGCATGGAAAAACGCCAAGCCGTACAATAGCCTCGCAAACATCTCTTCATGCCCCATGCAGCCTTCGTAGAATTCAGGATTCTTAACAGGATCGCTGATATACGACTTAAGAAGATTATTCTGCAATCCCGTTGGAGGTTCATTAGTCATTTTAACTCCCTTCTGGAGGAGAGTAACCGGGAACTTTCCTGAAGGATAGCTGGTGAGCCATAAGCGGAACTGGTCATGTGTTGTAGCGTAATCAAGGTTATCGAAAATTTTCTCCAAGGTGGGCATCCAAGATGTGGCTAAATGGCAGTTCTGAAGGCACACCCAAAGGCCTTCTTCCTGGCCCTCTTCTATGAGAGCTTGAGCCATTGGCCCTTGACCTATGGAATTTCATAACATTTTGAATAGATTATAGTAATATGAATACAGTGTTATTCTTGACGAGCTTCGATCATACTTTTGATAATTATAATACAAAATAAAGATGATACTCAAAGAGCACTAACCACTTATATAATGATGTAATGATGCTGGTGACCATATTAATGGAAGTTTACTGTACAATAGACAGACTGATCAATAAATGAATTCGAAATATCATAGCACAAAATTTATAATTGTTAGATATCCATTTACAACACACGCACATATTCAATGTGTGTTTTTGATTTGCTCTGTAGCCAATTTTCTCAAGTTTAACATTTCAATCCTTCTGCACCTGTTCTTACTATAATTGACTAATTCCCATAATTCCGTAAATCCCATCTCATACTCAAAAAACAATATCGATATTGAACTTGAAGTACCTCTTTTGATATAACCTGACATTTTCATGCAAATTTGTAATTTATGTTCTATTTTGTCAAAACGTCCAATCGAAAGTGGACAAAAATCACTCTGTATGTATCATATAAGACTCCCAAATTACCTTGTCCCAAAGATATCGATCTGAATCTTTCGCTCATCTTTTTTTCTCCTGCAAACTTTACCAGAGCTGCCATGGGATCCGTTCCAGGAGATAGGATGAAAATCAACGGACATAAACTATACGAGTCGTCATAAGATACACTAATATTGAAGGGGGGAGGTCTGATGAATCTTTCGTCCATTTCGTTCCTAACAAAACTGGTGACAGACGTTATAAGCTTGTCTGGTCTAAGCATTCTTATTACTAACAGCCGCCTGAAGGTATTCAAAGATTCTTGAAAATATTTGGGCATCACGAAATCATCTTGAAAATCGTCGTATATTTTTTTCCAATAGGATTCGTCAGATTTTATCGATGATGAAAAACCTTTGAAGACTGAAAGATCTTCCACCCTGCATATTTCATTCCACGATTCATCTGGTAACCAGTGCGAACATGGATTCTTCAAGGTATTTTCCACGCCCACTCCACCTACGATTTATTCGAAAAAAATATTGAATGTTTTCAAAACTTCAATAGCGATGGAAACTGTATTATTGAAAAATGTATATATTTATAAATTGAACGTGTGCTCCTTCCTGTATTCCCTTATTTTAAGAGTGAAAATATTCCACAATCAAATTTACAGAACACAGAAATGTACAGAATCATTAAACAAAACAGCTCAATTATCGCTCAGAAAAATCACATATCTGCATTTCCCAGATAATTCATATTTCACAAAAAATAATTGGGTATAATGGCAAAATTTGAACTGGCATTTAAGAATCATTTGTATTAATTTACAGCATAGCTCTTTGTTTCTGTTATTATTATATAAACCAATTCTGAAAGAGCTCCTTTTGAAGTGATGAATTTTTAGAGATTTCTGTGAAATCTATCAGACATATTTCAAAAAACAAATACAAAAGGAGACTATGATTTACGAAGTGGTTAAGACGTAGAAATAGGGAGATTGGAAATATTTGTAAAGAAAATTATACGAACCAATCAAAATTCACAAACAATGGTTGATTCAACAGTAATATTCCTCATAGGTGCAATGATACAAATAATACTTGGGAAACCTATTTCCAGGTAAGATTCGGAATAAATGTTTGATGAAGAATTTTGTAATAAACATACTAGGTCCTTCCTTTTACGAGGAGCATTTGAATAGTGAAATTTATCTACTCAGAGGAATTATGACTGAGCATCCGAAGTGAAATACTGTCAGGTTTAAATAAGGAGGTGCATATTTATAAAGCAGGATCATTTTTGGGATAGAAAGTTTTTGGCTTTCTGATTCTTCATCTTTAAAAAAAATGAGAAAATTCACCAAAGGAAGAAAGAAAGCAATTGATTTCGGAATGAAGGCTTCAAAAGATGTTCAGATCATACAAAGAAGTATGTTTCAGACAGAAACTGAAAGATGAGGCCCTCTCAGAACAACTAATTTCGAGAGCACATCGATGTCCGCCATTGATGATGTAAGTGAAATGTTACCTCTTCTTTATGCTAAATTGTGTAGAAATCCTGTGGATGATTTCTGAATTAATTCCATAACGAATGTTTGGAGTATGAACTGAATAGGGGAAAGTGTTTTTTGTATAATCCAATGTTCATATAAAAGTAGTTGTTTTTTAAGTATTTTTTCTTTCGTATAATTCATTGTTTATAAGGAAGAAGTTGTTTCGAAAGGGCTTTTTCTTCCAGTTTGTGTCTGAAAGTTACTTTTTTGCATGATATGCACATTTTTTTGGAGAGTTCATTTTGAAATCAATTGCTTTCTTTATTTCTTTGGAAAAACTTACACTTTTTGTGTGAATATGGAAAAGTAGAAAGCCAAAACCTTTATTTCTAATAATCAATCTCTCTTGAAAATATACCTTTTTCTTGCTGCCAACCAAAACAATTACATGTGCGATATATCCACGCAAAAAAGCAATTGTCACTCCTATCATGAACTATTACATAACGACTAGTGAATTCCGTTTATATCTCTTGACAGTTACTCTCCAAAGTTCCAGCTATTTTGGACTCGCAGTTGTTATGTAACAGTAGTTTGAGTAAGTTGATGTGGGTGTTTTTATGAAAATGAAAAAAAATCGAGTATCGAGCTGTCAGTAAATATTTGTTTTCGAAAGAATGTACTCCAACACAAATGAAAGATGAGTTGGATTCTGTTTATGGGGACTCTGCACCATCATTTACCACAGTGAAATTTACGACGAAAACATCGCCAAAGTTCACTAAATGGTGCTAGACGACCGCCAAATTGAAGTGAGAGAGATAGCAGAGATTATAAACATGACATACGTATTTAATCAACATTCAGGCATAAGAACGCTGTCCGCGCGATGAGTACCGCGCTTGCTTGTACCAACCCCATAAATAATTTTGAAATGATCCATGAACTATGTGAGCCCAAGATAATTTAATATTCGAATTCAACCGCGATAAAGATGTGTATCAATAAATCAATAAATGAGTTTCTAAAATCAAAGTTAATATTCAATCAAAAGTGCACTCACCTAACCCTAGACATTTGAACCACGGATATCGGCAAGAAAGAAGGTTAAATCATCAATTCTTGTAAACTGAAACGTGACTCAGTCAGAAGAGAGGAAATTTCTACATATCTGATGATGCAATAGTTCGATACGTGGAAGGTCATGTAAACGAGGTCAATTGAGTGTCCAGTTTTGAACCATAAACGACACGAGAAGCTTGTTGAAATTGATGAGTATTGCCCAATATACAGATGGTTACTCAGCAATTTCTTTGTGTATCATCCTGTTGCGATATATCAATAAACATTTAGATATTGTAAGCCAGTGACGTTCTCACGTACACCAAGACATGAGTGGGGATAGTTAGGCCAACTTTGATGACAGAGAGAGAGATGTATAAATATGCTAATACCGTTCAGATCAAAACGGGGAGTCAGAAATTAGAACATTTACTCGAGTTGAACATAAATTCAGTCGATAATTAGAGTCCAGAATTCGAGAGTAAGAATTAGATTAGATTCTAGATTCAGTTAGATAGCCATGTAGCTATAAATAGTGAAAAATACACCAATTGAATAGAGATTCAATTGAAGATTCCTAAAAAGTGCGGAAGGCGGAAAGTATAAAATTGCTGTGTTCCGAAAAGTTCGCTAGTCTACGGTGAGATGCGGAAGTTTTAAAAAAAACTTCAATTATAGTAATAGACTTGTAATTTGATATAACGGATACTCCTGTGTCTCATGTCTCATGCTTCATGTTCTGAATGAATGTGTGTCCTCTTAGAATGTGCATCAATGTAAATGCATAATATACCCATATATATTAATTTACAAAAAAAATTAAAACTGTTTTTTATTCCTTATCAAGAGACACGTCCCAACCATATTTAAGATACGTGCGACCTGCTGTATAATCCAACCATATATACAGCGGGATCGTCACATGTTCACGTTAGACCCAAAACGTGTTTGAATGGATACTTCCAACGCTCTGTTGGCGCAGTTGAGGTGCAATAAATCTGAGTTTTAGCGCCGATTAATTATCGTACATGAAACTTGGATACACCATTATAAACCAGAAACAAAAATACAGTCCAAACAGTGGACTGCAAAAGGGGAACTGGCTCCAAAAAAGCAGAAATTGTTTTTTCAGATGGGAAAGTGAAGGTTGTCAGTAAATATTTGTTTTCGAAAGGCTGTACTCCAACACAAATGAAAGATGAGTTGGATTCTGTTTATGGGGACTCTGCACCATCATTTACCATAGTGAAATTTTGGACAGGTGAATTTAAACGTGGCCCTGAGAACTTGGAAGACGATGAACAAAAATACAGTCCAAACAATGGACTGCAAAAGGGGAACTGACTCCAAAAAAGCAGAAATTGTTTTTTCAGATGGTAAAGTGATGGCGACTTTTTTTGAAAAAGTCATGGAGTTATTTTGATCGATTATCTTAAAAAAGGAAAAACCATCACAAAAACCTATACAGGAGCACACTTCGCGTCATTATTTGACAAGCTAAAGACAGAAATTGCAGCTACATTTGCAAAAAAAAATCCTGTTTCCCCAAGACAACGCACCGTCTCACACCTCAGCGGTGGCCATGGCAAAAATCCACAAATTACAGTTTGAACTGTTCACTCCGTCTGAAATGACCTGTCCGGTAGTGAAAAGGAGCAAGTACTCCAGAATCGGTCTACGGGTGGTCGTCATGACCGAATAAAATCAATTAATACTTTCCATATTCAGAAAGTTAATTGCCACGAATCTTCCAAATGAAAGATGTTACTCAGGTGTCTATAGTTTTCCTTCAACTTTCTGCGCGGCATTAGCTGAGTTACTTGGTCTCCTGCCTTTCTCACACAATAAGCCTTCTCTCACTCCCCACATAGTTTACGGCCATTATTATTGTTTATTCATTGAGCGTAGATAAAGTTTGAGGAAAATAGGTCACAAGGCCAAAAATGTCTGTTTGTAGCTTGGATTTGAGCACACCATGTTTTTCACGCGAGTGGGCAAACCATCCAGTTTATTTGTGATAGCTGAACATAGACTAATGCGACTAACAAGATAAGTGATTAATTTCATTTGAAAGTGTTATTATTCTGAAACACACTTACAATGAGTTAGTTTTTATTTTCTACTCTAGGAATTCACTAGAAATAATTTATGTGGCAAACTTTTGCCGGGACAGCTAGTATCGATATGAAAATCATATTTATTTCTTATCATTAAATAGATCTTACCTGTTAGAAGAAACATAAATTCTCGCTCGTCCAGTTTTCCCTGGGAGATCATGATTTTAGAGCAGAGTAGAAACGAAAATAGTAATTTATCTTTTTCAAAGAGAGAACGTGTTATGTTGCTGTACAAGTCGAAAGTGAAAGCGTTTATAAGACTCAAACATCTTCTCTCGATATTGCGGAACTTTTCTGCCCTTTGAATCGAGCCAATATAGAGATTGATAAACCACTCCAAAGAGTACTGGTACATGGGATCAACGTTAGCCAGATCCGATATGCAATAATACAAAACAGCTGAATGTCCGGATACACCCTGGTACTTCACCCGGAACTCTTCAATAGACTTCTCTATTTCGAAAGATTTTTCTTGTTTTTCCATGATCTCAATCGACAAAATTTTTGATTCATCTAAAATTTGAATCGCACTTTCGTCTTCGAGGATGTCTCCTTTCGACTCCGAGAGCGTTTTCAATATTTTTTCTTCAGTCTGCTGGAGCGCCCCTTTATTCTCAGCCTTTTGCACTATTAGTTCTTCCTTCAATTGTTGAAGTTCTGGTTTCTCAACAGCTACCACAATTCCTATGGAATGATAATTCAGGATGTTAAATTATATTATCCTGAAAATAACTGTTTGAAAATATAACATCGATTCGAATATGTGACACGTATTGGAAACTATTTCATGTCATCAGGAAAGAATCTAACTAACTCTCAAAAATCAATTTATCAAAGTGAAATCGGGTTGAAAATTGATCTTGACATAAAAGGTCTTCCAACAGGGACTTCTTTGACAATCAATAACTGCCATGTCGTTGAAGCTACATCTGTCAAATTAGTTGTCGTTTATTCAGTCTGTTTAGCCAAATTACCATAGACGGATATAGCATTCAACAACACCTGCAAATAAAAATTGGTGTTCTGTTCGTACAACGTACCGCGCGTTTCACCCATTTTACAGTCGCCATAATTGTCCTACTGAGAGGACTGTTCGCAATGTGGTGGTACAATTTGTATCCACTAGTTCAGTAAACGATCGACCAATACCAGCACGTCGACGAAACGTAAAAGAACTCTAGGTAGTCGATTTCGCCTCACAAGAACTCGGCCTTTTGCAGATAATAATTTGGCAAATTTTCCGTCGTGACGAGTCTGCACCCTTACAAAATTCGAATGACCTAGGATCTGAAGGTAAACGACCATAGACAACGACGTGTGTTCGCTAAAAATGGGCTTTGGAGCAACTGCCATCGACCCTATTATTCATCGAAAAATCATATTCAGCGATGAAAAACATTTCTGGATGAATAGGTGCGTGAACAAACAAAATTGTGTAATTTGGAACGATACGAATCCACATGAGATCTAAGAGCGTCCAATGCATCCCGAAAAAGTCACTGTTTGGCGTAGATTTCGGGCTGGTGGCGTCATCGGGTCATATTTCTTTGAGAACGACGTTGGCCAGGCCACCACTGTCAACGGTGAGCACTTTAGGTCGATGATGCATGGCCATCTCACGTGGATGTGATGTGAACTGTCCACAGAAATCGTGTGATTTGACTTCCTCAGAAATTTTCTTGTTGAGTATTCTTGAGTCCCAGGTATATGCGAATAAACCACAAACCACCTGAAACATAACCTATGCCATCGGTCAAATTCAGCCTCATGTATGTGCCAGAGGCACGGAAAATTGGACGTTTTGGATGCGCTTCACCCGCAGAAGCTGTGGCGGTCATTTGAAAGATGTTATATTCCACACACAATGGCATCAGTGGGTCTTTCGAATGAATGAATAATTTCGATAATATCTAACACACACTTTCTCCCATTCAAATTCAAAGATAGGAAGCACTTGATGGAAGATCCTTGATATAAATACAGCAAGCTAGCTCTCAGGAACCACATCATATCATCTTGTGGAAACGTCAAATCTATTGGTTTTTTCAATCTCTTGAAACATTTTTTTCAGAAATACACAAATACTCTCCCTTCTCCTCGGTACGGAGAACAGTTAGATATGGTAAATACGTATTTTATTGAATGTAATATATGACCTCAAAATTTTATCGATGAATTCTTGATTTTTAACGGAAACATGAGATATATCAGTATGATAAAACCACGAGTCCGTAGGACTCATTTGAGTTGTCTTAGTGAAGTTAGGGTCTAGTCATTGTCATAATCATAATAAAAAATGAACGTATAAATTTCTGTAAGAGCATTTCATATTCAGTCACTATCATATTTGGATATTTGGTTCCATTTGATTAGGACATTGAGGGCGATTGAAATTGTAAACTGTGAAACTTTGTTTTGGTGGACTATTTGTATAATTTTGAATCTCGATAGGAGTAACTGTAGAAAGGAACAAGATTGGATATTTAACAGCCTTGCAGAGAAAGTTATTTGTTCCCCGAAACAGGGGCTGAATCTGGTAGTAAAAGGAACGGTGAGATAATTGTATCTCTGGTAATTTTTTTCCGCAACGAAGTCTTATAGTACATCAACGGTGCATCATCAACTGTCATCCGTCAAGTGCCAACCCTTTCATACCATAAGCCAGAAAAATTTCATGGAGCACAAGAAATATGTCTTTACGAATATTATTCGACGAGATCTGTGAATAATGATTGCTTTTTGATATCAGTGACTTGACAAGCAGGCTTCGGAATTAATATAGTTTATTCCTGATAGAATGTATTGATAAATGAATATCAGTATGACTTACTTCATTCACTTACACGAGAAAGTAAGTTCAACATGATCAGTTCATACCAATCAATAATTAAATACTATATATTTTCTGTGTTTCCCATATGCTTTCGAATATGTGAAACTTTCATTCGTGTGATTCCATCGAATACTTGCCTAGTAGTTGATCCTGTAACCCTTCTAGCGTCAGTGCAAAATTAACTATCGTTACCCTGTTGAAAACCTCGGGTAGATAATGCGGATTCCGTAATTTGGATGTGAGATATAATTTAAAATTCTTATTGTATTCTATGACATTCTCTCCCAAACTGATGACTTCCATACCAGCCTGCTTGAAAGTTTTCTTGTAAAGCAGGGGATCGAGCGGAGCTTCCAGTTCCTCTCCAATACTCTCTATAAGAGCCGGATATCCAAACTGAATGCACACTTCAATTTTTTTCATATAGTCAGGAAATGAAAACTTCACCACCTCAAGGTTATTCTTCTTCTCCATTTTTTTTATCCAATTAGCTGCTTGAGCTTGCGGATCGATGAAAAGGGACCATCTACGAGAGTTGTCCATGATAATTCCGTTTTCTGTAGAAAATGTGTCTCTCGGTAGGCCATCAATATACCAATTCTGAATTTTGACATCAGATCCCAAAACAAATTCCATGTCGTAATGATCCGCGGTTGGAATTTTCAAATTTTTTACGTAGTCATGCCAATCAATCACTATTTTGTTTCTGAAGAAACTGTTGAAGGGGGAAAGGTAAGAAATTATGCCACAGGATATTAGGATATCTCCTGCTAGACCATCGTATTGGAGTTGGAGAGCATCGGCAGCAGCAGTCCATCTCGTTTTTTCTCCACCCAAGCCACCTGAAATCATTCAACTAATTATTTTAGTGAGGTAAAGCGGAGCAAGTAGAAAGATAGGGCAAATGCAAATATGCAAATATATTGATCCTGGATGCAGTTCAGTGGCTAATTCGGAACTATACGCCAGCTTGCAGTCATCAGCACCAATAGTCACCTTTATGCAGACAGCTGCAAGTTTGAAGGTCGTGCAAATTGATAACTCAACGATTCCTTCATAATTTTGGAATTTCCTAATAAGAAATGTTCGCTGAATGTTGCTTTTTCTGCCCTAGCATGTGGGTTTAGATTCGTAAGTCAGACTTATCGATCCTAATACTGATGATAGTGAGGATAAGAACAACTGTATAATTGGAAACATGAGATTGAGAGGTACTTAAAGCGAAAATGAATGGTAACCTAGCATTATTGGCTGATTTTTGAGGTGTTGTTAAAGTTGAAATCAGCATATTCTTCACATTCTGGCCTAAGGATTCTACTAATTTTATATATCAGTTATTTACTTTTCTGGGATGTATGAAATTGAAATAATACTGTATGGGTGTAAGCTCCAGGTGAAACTCATTCAGCAACTACTGACAGGTATAGAATAACATAACGTCTCCGTTGATAGAATATCAATAGCCTGAAGTCACTGTCAAAGTAAATGTCATAGTTTAAAGCGTGTTCAAATTCCAACACAATCGAAAAAGATAAGAATGATACCAATAGTGCTGATGACTTAACGAATATGAATGTTATAAATGGACTGACCCGTTACTTGATGAAAATTAATAACACTAAGCTACGATATTCCATTATTATCGTGAATAGCATACATCTGTTTGAAAATACAGCAACACAGCAAAGCAACACAGAAACACCAAAATATCAGTTCAATCGAACTAATCAAACAACGCAAAACTCAAGATGAGGTTCAATAAAAACCGGGGCTACTTTTGCGCTTAGGTCCTTCTTTGGCCTAAAAAAAGAGAAAAAGTTCCGTACTCAACAGAGCTATTCGTGGCATTATTTGAAATATTTCTGGCTGGTTCCTCTAGGTGGTACAGATGGTAATGATAATAATTTCTCAGTATCCTCAGTTAACGTTACCATATCCTTACAAAAAAATTGATCCAAAATGAATAAAATAAACAGGAATATTTTTCAGTAAAAAAGTATACAGCAGTTGATCTTATGAATGTAAAAAAATGTTACCAGTACTTGAATTCCGTATAAATTATATGTTTGAAGAGATATTCGTATTAAATTTATTGTTTTTACAGATTTAATTTGTTGTTGTTGTAATTCTGTAATAATTTTGTTGATTGATAAAAATTTGATTTGATTTTTGTTTGGTGATTCATCTTCAATCAAGGATCGCTTATTAAATAAAGACGATCCCCAATAATTGAGAATAGCTTTATACCGTAAATTTAAATCAAAATGTGAATGACCAGAATGGTTCTTTCTCTATCTTTTCCTTTTCATGAAATTATTTTCCAGCAGCTTGACTGCATTAACATTTCTTGATTATGTGATAAAATTCGATTCATCAATAATCTGATTGCCAAAAATTTTTTTAATTCAATGGGATATCGTTAAAATTTGAGATATCGATGATTATATTACCAGTAATTTCACTTTATGTCGAATATGGTAGTGAATATCCTTGTAATCAGATGTTGAAAGCATTTCGGTGATTGCATGCTAACAGAATTTTCGATGTTTCATTTTTGCAGTTGCAGTTGATCGATGTAAAACCATAATTTTGAACCGAATTAACGTCGAGCCTATTTACAATTTCTCTGTTTTTAAACCTACCATTTTTAAAACTCCCCAACTTACCAATCAACTTTTTGGCTCGTATAAGTTTATTATTGCATAAATTGACTTCGTCCTGAAGCTCAGTCTGTTTTTTTTCTGCCTCAGCGAGTTTTTCGTTGAGAATTGCCAGTTGTGCTTCCAATTTTTGTACTTCATTTCTTTTCTCTGTCAACATTGCCATCATCGCGGCAAATTCCTGTTCTGCAGCTGCCAGCTTTGCCTTTTTTGGAGCCACAACTTTATAGACCTTATCGTACATATCCATTGCTATGATCCATTTGCATAAACCCTCAGCTGCACTGGACGCTTTAGCAACAATGGATGGTTTGAAGTCTTTATGAGGGATGTATTCTTTTCGCAGTTTCGCCATGATGTCAGGCTTGATGTTGTCCTTATCAAACTCTTTCAAAGCCTGAAGAAAGTTCATTTCTCCCAATAGTCTAAAGAGATTAAAATTATTAGAAAGCGTAGATAATGAAGAATCTCAAAAACAAATATGCGGAAATATTCCAACTGTGAATAATTTTTCACACAATTTCTTTGTTGGTCAGTATTTTTTATCATTGTCGAAATTGAATATGGAGTACCACAGAGTACCATGATTTTACATGATGTCCGTCAATTTAAAAACTTTTCAATTTTGACACCTATCTCTCTTTCAGAATAATGAGGAAAATCGGAATGACATTTCAATTTCTTAGAAGACAGTTTCACGGAATATTTTCAACCATCGCAATCGTTTAATGTGATATATTAGAGAAACTTTGCAGTTGCCATTATTGGTACAAAATGTATTAGGCTTCTTCCACTGGAAAATTAATGAAGCAAGAATAATTGGTGAAAGTTTATGAACTAAAGAAACATATATTCTCTTACCTTTTACTTGGAGGCCAATAATCCAAATTCATCCTTCCCGTAGATGGATCAGGAATTCGATCAGGTTTCAAACCCTTTATTATGCAAACTGCCGCCATTACCAGCTTGATTGCATCCGGTGGATTTTTCATAGATTTTACAAGAGTGATATCAGCAGGTTTTAAGGTATCCAACGCTGAGATAGCCTGAAATTGATAAATCCAGCATTCTGAAATTATTTCGAGAAATGATAGTAAAATAGTTTCTGGAAACTGTAAAAATCCTTTATTTGATATATGGAACATATTAAAGTAGAAGATAACATAATATTCCAGAAAATGTCCTCAACCGTTCGAAATTCATGCAAACTACAGGCTGATTCACGGTAGATGGCACATTAGACGTTTCTGGTGAACCAGACAACGGATCATTTTGAAAATTTAATGGAGGGCATATTCGGACATTCTCTAGCCAACTGGAATATTTTCGACAATGCAGTGTTGCCGCTTCTATTAGAAAGTAGTAGCAACTTTGATTTTTCAAATGGAACACTCTGTATATAATATTATTTTTGGAATCTCCAACAATTGCCCGACAACTTTTCTTGATATTTCCCTAGACCTATCTGTTACCGTTTTCGAAATAAAAATTAATTTCAATTTTTTTCTTCGAAAATCATGACTTTGACTGCCATGGTCTTATGATCCGATGAATGGCAGATGAATAACGCTTATTTATAACTCAAAACGAAGTGAGTTCTGTAAATAATCTAGAATCCTAGCATAACAGGGTTTATGTATGAAGTGAGAAATGATTATTTTTCAGATGGATACGCAAATAGCATATGGAACAGCAGCACCATAGATTATCACTGAAAAACAGTGATCTTTTTGAGAGATTCATTTTCAGCAAAATTCACAGCAACATTCACTACTGTACGATTCACTACTGTATATAAAATTGATACTGTTGCTTATCGAAACTGGTCTGGTAATGTCATAATGAACTGAGAAAACCAGGACACTCAATTACTACAGGCAACAAAAAAGGTGATGAGTTAGCCGAACACGGATCATCAACTCCATATACAGTCCATGAAACTCTTTGGTACGAAACCAGAAAGAGGACACTTCCCATTAGGAGGACAACGGAAACCTTAGCTACAGGCGGTGCAACAAATGGACCAAGACAGATCGTCATATTTTATGTGGATGTGAGGCACTGAGCTGTACAAATTAGCAAAAATGAAAATCCTGTTTTGGAATGGGTGTCATGAAACAGATGGGAGAAAAATGCAGTGAGACTTGGAGACTTGGGAAAAATGCAGAGGGCTTTCAAGTAGTAGAAAAAATTATTGGATGGGTAAGGGTTGATAACAAGTAAGTCGCTATTAGTAATTGACATCGATTGATTTCAAAAATGAATATTATATCAAAATGAGCGCTGGTTCATTTCGAACGCAAAGATACAGAGTTTTCTGCGAAAAATTTGGCATCAATAACGATTGACGAGTTTCAAAAAGTGAGAGGATAGTGACAGACTAGTGAATACTAAGCATTGACAATACAGAAAAAAATGACTGCCATGGTCTTATGATCCGATGAATGGCAGATGAATGACGCTTATTTATAACTCGAAACGAAGTGAGTTCTGTAAATAATCTAGAATCCTAACATAACAGGGTTTATGTATGAAGTGAAAAATGATTATTTTTCAGGTGGATACGCAAATAGCATATGGAACAGCAGCACCATAGATTATCACTGAAAAACGGTGATCTTTTTGAGAGATTCGTTTTCAGCAAAATTCACAGCAACATTCACTACTGTACGATTCACTACTGTATAGAAAATTGATACTGTTGCTTATCGAAACTGGTCTGGTAATGTCATAATGAACTGAGAAAACCAGGACACTCAACTACTGCAGGCAACAAAAAAGGTGATGAGTTAGCCGAACACGGATCATCAACTCCGTATACAGTCCATGAAACAACAAACTCTTTGGTACGAAACCAGAAAGTGGACACTTCCCATTAGGAGGACAACGGAAACCTTAGCTACAGGCGATGCAACAAATGGACAAAGACAGATCGTCATATTTTATGTGGATGTGAGGCACTGAGCTGTAAAAATTAGCAAAAATGAAAATCCTGTTTTGGAATGGGTGTCATGAAACAGATGAAAGAAAAATGCAGTGAGACTTGGAGACTTGAGAAATGCAGAGGGCTTTCAAGTAGTAGAAAAAATTATTGGGTTGGTAAGGATTGATAACAAGTAAGTCGCTATTAGTAATTTACATCGATTGATTTCAAAAATAAATATTATATCAAAATGAGTGCTGATTCATTTCGAACGCAAAGATACAGGGTTTCAAAAAGTGAGAGGATAGTGACAGACTAGTGAATACTAAGCATTGACAATACAGAAAAAATCGAGAACTGAAAATTTCATCGAAAATGCTATCCATGAAAATATAGGTGATGACAAATGAGATATTATTTCCAAGGAGACAGTGGTTTACATTTAAATGTCATTATTTTTCATCGGTTATATGTACACTATCACATCAATGGATGTTAGGGACTTTTCAAGAATAAATCTACTAAGAGATGTTGAGAACCCAAAAGCAGAAAATTTCTAAAGAGATAGATGTAATATTTAAATTGTTTACGTCTTCCAGAATAGGCATAGCCACGGCAAGATCCGCTTCACATTCTTGTTTCAAAGCCTGGGCAGCCGCAGCTTGTTTATTGGCTACTTTCTCATCTTGTTTAACTGCAATTGAGGCCTTCTCAACCGTTATGCTTTCTTGTTCGATCTGCTTAGTCATTTGAGTAGCTTTTAAGCTCATTTCGGTCAGCTGCGGTTGGAGCTCCGCCAAGGATTTTTGCATTTCCCCTAAGGAACGTTGTACTTACCGATACTGACAGACGCATGATAAAGTTTTTCCAAACCTCCTAAGTATCGCTTCTTCGCTGCCATTATTTCATTTTGTTTTTTATTGGTTAAATCCGTAAAAGATCTAATGAGTTCCAAATAGGAAGCTGAGGTGATGTATGTACGCCTTCCAGAAACATTACAAAACTCTACTGATGCTTTTCTAGCTTCCACATGGAAATATTTGCACGCTATTACCGAAAAATTTTTAATTTCATCTGCAAAAAAACAAATATGATACGTATCATCCAAAATGAAATTATGTTATGGAGTAGATTTAATATTCTAATGATGACCTTTTAATACAGTGTGACCCATTTAAAATGAAACCACCCCTAACTTTCACAATTTTAGTTNTATTCTAATGATGACCTATTAATATATCATAGCTCATTTCGAATTGTAACCTTTTTCATACATTTTTAATAATCATACTTCTTTTTAAGAAGTTTGTTACACAATAGGCCAGAAATGTCTCTCGAAGTGTGTTTCATTATCTTGGTTAGCGTCGAGAGGCAGTATTTATGTTCTAGTAGGGAAATAGAATTTCCAAAGGTTCATTTCATTCTATTGTTTTCAATTCTACTCGTCATACTGCTCGTGACGTAACTATAAGAATAAGTAAAAATGTTTACACAAATAAGAGGCTGCTAGCCGCAACGGGTAATACACTTGTCATTGAAAATAAGTTTACCAATATTATTCAAATTGAATGCAATGAAGGTTCATTATTGAAACAATCGGTAAATCTGTAACCTTCCAAGTATCATTAATTATTCCCACAATATTTACTCACCCGATAGATTGATGTCTTGCATCCAACAATGAGCGACTTCCTCCAAAGCTTCCTCTGGCCAGTCTTGAAACCAATCGATAGTACAACAATTTATTAAAGACGGGTATAACCTTAACCTATTCCTGAAAGTAGAACCGACTGGACTGAAGCATAGGAAAATGTGTAACTTTTCTCTACATCGTCTTGTAAAAAAGAAGAAAACTTCCAGAGCGCTGATTTCAAGATTCCTATTTCCTCCTTCAATAACAAATGATATAAATATTCAAGAACAAATTCTAGATGGTCAGTACCTTGTGCTGCCAGCCTCACCATATCCAATATTTCCTGTTTCTCATCGATTTGATAAATGTTAGGAACTTCTCCTGAATTGAGGAGGCAATCGACGTCTTGTAAGAAAACTTCTTCTTTGATTTGGCCTTCTGTAATGAGAAAGGTGCTGTGTTTGCCACGCCCCCCGGCTTCTTTCAATATCTTCTTGATATCGTCTCTCCATTCATTCAATGAGTAGTTGTTAGTTATTTCTGGTTGAAATAGTGTATATCCGTAAATTTCGCTTGCAAGTCTTGTTAAAGATTGTCTTCCAGAACCGCTGATGCCAACCTTCAGAAATTATATCAAGAATGAATAATATAAAATTATTTCATTAGGTCGGTAGCCGGGCGGTTCGACGTGGGTGCTTTGTTCACGCAGTCAGTCGGCCGATGTGTGAGTCGATGGTTCAAGCCGCAGGCTGAACGCTCGATTTTCACTTGCTATCGTCCAACCTGTATTAGGAATCCCACGTTGAGAGGTAAGACCTCGTTAGTCCTTAGCTCGCACAAGTTTCGACTTTACAGAGTTGTCGTTCGTAGGCGTGCGATAGCTGGTTAACGGAAAAAAAATATTTTGAGAATATTTTTTAGTTACATCTACATCTACAAATCCAATTTTTATCTCATATTAGGACTAGCTAAAAACAATTTTCAAACAATACCTTATTCATGGAAAGTGCCAAAGTTCCAAAACATATATTTTCTTAAGAATCGTTCATTTAATTCCGCAAGAATGTTTTTTTAATGAATATCTGAATGTTCACATGAACTGGTGAAGAAATAGTAAAAAAAAATTCAAAATTTAATGTGAAGATGTATAATCATAGATATATTTTGTATCCAATCTCTTTCCTTTATATCATTTGATGAATTGAGTACAAATGGACAAATGGACACAATGGACATTTAAAGGAAGTATATGACATCTTCCTCACGAAGACGCCATCTATGGGATCTGCAGAGAATTCAATACTCGGATATCAAAAATAAACAAGGCTTCCCAAGGCAATCACTTGCAGAGCCATGCTTCAACTGGAGCCCAAACACAACGCGTTTATGATTCAACACTTACATGAAATCTGTCCAATATTCGTCACGTCGGAAACTCGAATTTGCAATGTTTTAGTTGTTTTCCGGGTTTTGCCGTGGTCTTGTTTGGTTACAATCTCCAAAGTTTTCAACGGTCTGCCGCATAAAATAAACGCAGGATCCCTGGCTGTTTTAAAATATAAACGTGGGGATCTCCTAGTCAGAGAATGCTTTTACACTATTGAGTCAGAATAATGAGGAAAATCGGAATGACATTTCAATTTCTTAGAAGACAGTTTCACGGAATATTTTCAACCATCGCAATCGTTTAATGTGATATATCAGAGAAACTTTGCAGTTGCCATTATTGGTACAAAATGCATTAGGCTTCTTCCACTGGAAAATTGATGAAGCAAAAATAATTGGTGAATGTTTATGAACGGAAAAACAGATTTGAACAGATTCTGAAGATATAAAGAAACATATATTCTCTTACCTTTTACTTGGAGGCCAATAATCCAAATTCATCCTTCCCGTAGATGGATCAGGAATTCGATCAGGTTTCAGACCCTTTATTATGCAAACTGCAGCCATTACCAGCTTGATTGCATCCGGTGGATTTTTCATAGATTTCACAAGAGTGATATCAGCAGGTTTCAAGGTATCCAACGCTGAGATAGCCTGAAATTGATAAATCCAGCATTCTGAAATTTCTGGAAACTGTGAAAATCCTTTATTTGATATATGGAACCTATTAAAGTAGAAGATAACATAATATTCTAGAAAATGTCCTCAATCGTTCGAAATTCATGCAAACTATAGTCCGGTGGAAAACATCCTGAGATCAACTTCTTTAAAGAAATTATGATGACATTAATGAGCAACATCAATCGGTTTGTCATAAACCGAAGTATTAAAGATTATCTGGTAATTGTTACCATGAGATGAATGTTCCAGTTTTTTGAAATGGAAAAATATGTCTAGCTATTGGAAATTTTCAGGGGTGAATTTTCAGTAGAAAAGTACCCTGTTCACATCATTGAA